CGAGGAAGGCGGAACTCTGCTTACCACTTGCCACCACCTTGTACAGTTTGTGATAACCTACCAGGGCGCGTAGCAATGACTTCTGAATAAACTTGAGCTAATTCATCAAAGACTATACCCAAATGCTTCGCATGCAGGCTATGATAGAATCCAACTGATAGAAATCATGGATATCACTAAAAGGATTAATACAACGTATAGTGTGATGGTTTATGATCTAGAAATGCCATTCCCTTCAAGCACATAAGCTCGCTCTACTACTATTCAATGGGACTCCTCTACCTGGTTGGACGTGGCTCAAAAACTAGCACAAGGGATAAATGGATGTCTGAAGTCATATTGAGAATGTCCCATGGTTACCTCCCTTCTTTTCCAATATGCGAAGGCAGTTATTTCAGGGGGATTAGCAGTAGCATGACGCGTTTTGTCGATGATTGCGACAGAACAATCCAAAGTGGATCCCTCCAAGGAAGCATGGTCTACTTACCAGAAATAGATGCAGGCTATCATCACGACAGTACAGATGTGGTGACCATATCTGCTGGGCCAGAAGTTCCACACTACACCGACCATCAGAGTTTGAGGAATATCTTGGAGCAACGATTTTCCACTCCCGATCAACACAAGTGGGTCTCAAAGCTCCTTGGTCCCTCCAACGTCGTGGTGGATGGGCTCTCGAGGCTCCTGGGGGGCGAGATACTGGCGGCAGTGATGAGGCATGTGCTCCAATTCTGGGACGCGCTACGAGCTCTTACTGAGACAGATGCCTACCTATGGGGTTGTCGGGATACAACAGTCAGCGAAGCTCTAGGCCACTATTCCTTTCGGCAGAGGCTGGTGTTCTTCCGTGGGCGCATTGTCCTTCCGCGGGGATCTTCACTGGTGACGACCATGCTGCAGGAGTACCATGACTCTCCATTTGGAGGGCATTCGGGGGTCGAGTGGACGCTTTGGAGAATCCGGTCACAATTTTACTGGCCGCAGATGGGCTAGGATGTGAAGGACTATGTGGCTTCGTTCAACACCTGTCAGCGGGTCAAGGCGTCCCACCTTCGGTCGGTCGGTCTTCTGCAACCCTTACCGATACCCGAGCGGGTATGGGAGGACATCAGTATGGACTTCATCGTCGGGCTTCCCCCGTTAGGAGGAAACACGGTCCTGTTCGTCGTCGTTGATCGACTGATGAAATATGCCCATTTCATGGCCTTGGCGCATCCGTATACAGCCCGGTCAGTGACCGAGCAGTTTGTGATGGGAGTTGTGTGCCACCACGGGTTTCCGAGGTCTGTTGTCAGTGATCGGGACTCCGTTTTCTTGAGACGCTTCTGGCAGGAGGTGTCACATTGGCCCAGACCACATTGCGGATGAGTTCAGCCTATCATCCTTAGACGGACGACCTGACGGAGGTAGTTGGTCCTGTTACCATGGGCCGAGCTATGGTATAACTCTACTTACATAGGGTGATCCAGACGACACCGTTTGAGGCTCTATATGGGAGGCCGCCACCTTCCTTGGTACGCTACGAGAGTGGTACCAGCCAGGTGGATGTGGTGGATCGATGGCTCGAGACACGGGACGAGGCCTTGGAGCAGCTCAAGGTCAATCTGGAGGCTGCCAACAATAAGATGAAACAGATGGTCGATGTCGGACGTCGAGAGGAGAAGTTCGAGGTGGGGGACTAGGTTATGCTTCAACTACACCCTTATATGTTGGCTTCCGTTTTTCATTGTGCATAAGAGAAGCTGGCGGCTCCATACTTTGGGCCCTATGAGGTACTGCAGAAGATTAATCCGATGGCCTATCGTCTGCAGTTGCCAGCTGATGCGCGCATCCACCACAACTTCCACGTGTCTCTACTGAAGAGGTACAAGGGAGCGACTGATCGGGTAGAGACGACGTCTCCACTGGTCTCGGCGGATGGGGACCTTGAGCTGACTCCTTTGCAGGTCTTGGATACCAGATGGGTGAAGAAAGGTGGGCGTTTGATCGAGCAGAGCTTGGTCCTATTGCAGCACATGGAGAGGGAGGATGCCACTTGGGAGGAGGCGGCGCGCTTCCCAATATTCGACCTTGAGGGAAAGGTCGCTTCTGATGGGGAAGAGGATGATAGAGACCCGCTCGGTGGGTAGGAGGAGACGGGTTGGGTTTGGCCATATGGGCCGGGTTTGAGTGGCGGTTTATTTTTTCTTGTCGGTTCTATGAAACTCATTAAAAATGGTTCAATAAGTTCATTTTCGGATTAAGCAATAAGAATATCAAAATCCCTAATCCCTCTCTCTGTTCTTCCCCAATTCTTTCTAATCCCTAATTCTACTTCTTCTTCTCAATTCCCAATCCCATCTTTTCTATCACTCAGCCGGAGAAGACGACGTATTGGAAGGCAAGCATCTGTCGGTAACGGAGTTAATGGATAGACCATCCTCGACCCGATACAGCAAACCCTGTACAAACAATTCTCGCCAGAAGAAGGAATAAGGAGTTGAACATTAATGGATAGACCATCCTCGACCCGATACAACAAACTCTGTACAAACAATTTTCGTCAGAAGAAGGAATAAGGAGGAGAACATTAGATAACATGGGTAAATTGCAAGGTTGGTTACCGGGGTTACTGTGAATAGCTCGTGCTCTCTTTGATCTGCTTCTCAAATGCAGAATTCTCTTGATCTGCCAAGCCCAAACGTGGATCTCTCTTGGATCCACCAAACAGACGCGAATCACCTTTGACCCGCCAGACAAACGCAGATCTCAAATCCCAAGGTCACCGAATGAGGGTCCCACTAAACTGACGTCCACCGCCCCGAACCGAACCAGGCTCTGATACCACTTGTCATACCTTGGTGCTCCATTAGAATGATATTGTCCACTTTGGGCCAAACCTGCACGGATTTACTCTTGGGTGTCCTCCCCAAAAGGCCTCATACTAATTGGGCTAGGTGGACTCTAATATACAAGGGTTCCTTCCCTTGTATTACCGATGTGGTACTTGGATTGTCCCATAACACTTCCTTCTTCTCGTTGGCTTCTTTTCTTTAATTCTGAAACCCCTAAAATCAAGCCCCGAATCGAATGTCACAACGGTGAGAAGAGACTACGGAGCCCCGGCATACCCACCGTCGTCGTCGTGTTCCTCCGAAGTACCCACCCTAATTGCCGGAGAAAGTCTTTGATTCCGACCCCGCCATGAGCGCCGACATGGATAAAAGCTTCGATTCGAACCCGACTTCTTTAGCGCCCTCCTTTCAATTTGATAATTATAATAAATTATTATGTTTTTATTTATTTTATTGTGAAAATGAGTTAGAAACTATAAAATATTTTATTTTATTTATTATTTTTTAATTGTCATGTCACTCATTTAATGGTCAACTTTGAGAGTTGACCGCCCCATCAGATAAAATTAACGGAGTTAAACGAAGAGTGATCAAATTTAAAAGGTTTAACTAATTTTAGTGACCACGAATAGAATTAAATATTTCTATTGACCAAACATGAATCTTTTTGGTAAACCCAGTGACCAACCATGCAATTTACCAAAAAAACAGCTTTGTTTGAGAAGGATATGAAGATTTTGGAAATTGACCTAAACAAGTTAATTACAAAAGGGAGATTGTTAAGTGTTGACGAGATGACATCTATGATAAGGATGCTAGTCATGATGATGGTGAAAGTACCCATGACATTGGTGGTGAACTCGTGGTACTGATGACCACTACCCTAACTATTATGATGCACATCGTTATTTGGATTTATAGTGCATATTTGAAGTTTTGGTTTGCATTTGAATTCTAGCTTGATGAGTGATGTGACTAAAAAGTATCTGGTTTTGGTTTGCATTTGAAGTTTTGGTTTGCATTTGAACCATCGATTAAAGTGATCATCTAATTATTTCAATTACAAAAAACTATCTCGAAAATTGCTCAAATTTTATCGAAATGTTTGTATCAAATTAGGATGAACAAGTATATACAATTTAAGTTACAAAACATAAGTTAACTATTAATAAGATAAGTGGCGGACCTATTATTTTACATAGGGGTGTCCGGTCTTAAAAATTAATTAAATTAATAAGTACCAAATAAGAAAATATCCGATTTGTACAAATTACAACAAAGTACACGAAGTGTTTCGTATACTTTAAAAATTATAAAATATATTCAGTGTCTAACATTGCTATACAAATCTCTCTAGGTATATCCTACTAGACAAGAAGAACTCGTGATTGGGTTTAATCGTTAGCTTTTGAAAATATTTAGGGATAATGATTAACTTTTTACTATTATTTGGATTTAAAATACATGAACAAATGAGTTAGTAGTATAATGAAACATATGTTTCCTAATAGTAGCAGTGACCCAAGTTCAAATCACAAAGGTTGTCCCTTAATTTTTTTTATTTACCTATACACAAACTATTATGGGATTGGGTAATCATTTTTCCAAAATTTAAAAGTGTTCTTTTACTATTTAATGTTTTTCCACTCATACGCAAACTACTACTAAAGCTGAATGATATTTTTTTTCAAATTTTAAAGATTTTGAAACACTTCTAAAATCTCATGTATCCGCTACTACATAAAATGAGATTACTAAACAATAAACATAAAATTTAACACGGATTACTAAACTATTTTTGTTTTTTCAGGATTCAGGATATCATTTTTAGCTTAAACCCCCCAATATAGGTTAAACCCCCCAATATCCTCAGGACAAATCATGTTATTAAAGTCAAAGAGGTGCCTCGAGCATTGAATATCAAAGCGGATTGGGTGGCACGATCAAAAGCGAGATCTAATCTGTCTGAGGACTGGATTAATATTCTTGATCTAATTTTTTTATCTTCTTTAAGATTGTAATTTGCCTACGTTTTTTCGAAAATGAAATAAAAGTTGGATTAATTGTAAGAAGAAAAAAAAAGTTAGCCTAAGCCCTTCAACTTCAATAAGTTGGAAGCAACGACTGGGATGAAAGTGAGACAGTATTGTTACAGTAGTAGCAGCGATGTCAGGGACTCAATGCTGTGAAAACCCTCCAACTTTGAACTCAGCAAGTGGAGCTGGGCCTGGGCATCTAGATAAAGTGGCTGGCCTCGATTCCTATGTCGCTGGCTCTCCTGATTCCAAGTCCGCCATTGTTTTCGTCTCCGATATCTTTGGTACGTACGTGTACGTCTATCCCCCCTCATCTTTTTATGTCCTCTATTCCCCAGCTCTGCATTCCGTTGAAGAGGGTTTCTGTGTCTTTGGGTCTTGATTTATCTTGCAGGATATGATGCTCCGAATTTGAGGTATGTTTGTTCTCCTAAAGGGGACTCTATATCCAATTGGTCTTGTTAGCGTTTTCCAACAAATAGACTCCCAATTATGGATAATCTTCGCATATGTAATGGAGTCTTTTTGTGGAAGTAGTGGCTGTTCTCTTTGTTTTTGGTGCTTTTGATGGTTTCCTGAATTTGGAGTTGTTTCAATTGAAGCAAGTTTGCAGACAAGGCTGCAGCTGCTGGGTACTATGTGGTTTTTCCTGACTTCTTCTATGGAGATCCTTACGCCGTTCCTGGTAACGCAGAGAGGACCATGCAAATCTGGTTGCAAGATCATGGACCGGTTAGTTCTAATCATCTGCTTATGATAACCCTAATTTACTCATCTTGAAAGAACCAATTGCAACTTGTAAATGTTCATGCTTTTGCTTGGCTGCCCTTTCTTTGGCGCCCAGGCTAAGGGATTCGAGGATGTCAAGCCTGCCACTGCCATCAAGAGCCTGAAAAGTAAAGGCGTCACTGCAATTGGAGCTATTGGTTTTTTGCTGGGGTGGTATGATATTAGATACTACTGCTCATAGAATCAATCCACCATTCTATTCATTTGTTGCGAATTGTGATCTTTGAACAAGCTAAGTACTTTGTGCTACTTCTCTCCATTTTGTCTCGGCCAAGGTTATGGTTGAACTTGCAAAACAAGACAACAACATCAAAGCCGGGGTGTTCTGCCATCCTTCATTTGTCACGGTAGACGATATAAAAGGTCGGAGATTGATCAGATCAGTTATTTCCCCCCGCAGAATGCAACGGCTTACTATTTGTCTATTTGTAGTCACAATTAAGCTAAATGTTCCTTAAAACTCTGCAGAGGTGATGATCCCCTTGGCAATACTAGGAGCTGAGATTGACCAGATGTCTCCGCCAGCTCTCCTCAAACAGTTCGAAGCGATCCTTGCTGCTAAGCCTGGGGTAAGGAAGAAGTTATATATGGTTGGTCCGTTCTTAACTTTTTAGCTGTTATATATTTCTGGGTGTGGAGCTACTGATGTTTTCTTTGTGTTTCTTTCCTTCTGCTTTTCCAAAGGTCGACGCGTTTATGAAGATTTTCCCCGGAGTTTCTCATGGATGGACTGTGAGGTACAACGTTGAAGATGAAGCCGCAGTGAAGGCTGCTGAGGAGGCTCAAAATGATGCATTGGAGTGGTTTGCTAAGTATATATGTTAAGTGACTGCAGAAAGAAAGAACCCCTCATGACGGGCGGATACCACTACTAATAGGTAGATTTGCCCTTCCAGTTACTTTGCATATGACATAAATATTTGCAGCCTATTGCCTTGCTGTTGCCCGCAACCAAGTTAGCCCTACGCTCTAATGGGCATCAACTTCTCCTCTCGATCCTTCCCTCTGGCCTAAATTATGGGGGATGCGCTGCGCTTGGCGCCCAAGCTCAAGTTTTTCCTATGGCATATTTTATTACGCATTCTGCCCGTGCGTGATGATATTCAACGACTTGCGGGAGAAGAGAGTTGCCCAAAAAAAAAATTACGAGTCTCCCTCACCCTCCTTGCTATTCGGCCTAAATGGGCTTGTTGCTTGGGAAGCCGGCAAGACCATCCAATTTCAATTGTGGAGACTAGAATATATCCTTGAAAGGCCCAAACCGGTTTCTTTCGTTTTCATTTTCTTCCACCATCAGTTCACGACCAAGGGTGGCCGGGTGGACACGTGGGAACACGGAGTGCCAGCCAGCCACCGTCACCGGCGGGAACAGCGAATCACAAGCTGTCATTTTCTTCATGATCGCAGTTCTCCTCCATCACTTGCTCTGCTAGCATCCACGACCACAAGTCCACAACCATTAAGCGCGTGGATGATTTGTCCAAAAAAGAAGGAAAACAAGATTATTTTAACTCTTCCTGTTCCTTTTATTTGTTTCGATTCCTTTTCCTTTCCTGTGTTAAATTTGATTTACAATTTATTGAATAAATAAATTTGTCAACCATTCTTAATTACTTATCTGACAACCATATTTGTTTTATGTATGTATAGTCAATGAAAATTTCCTTCTTGTTTCCCAGTGAGTTGACCCCCTTCTAAGTTCTAACTCCATTTGTTTCTCACAAAATTGGTTGTCCGTCGATACTAATGGCTCCATCCTCATCAAGAGATTAACAGTAATCAATGCCATAACTAGAATGAAAATCAAAGCAACAAATAAGATGTATCGAAAAGAGTTAGAAGTTAGGTTTCGAGTTGCAAATGAATGATTAAATGATTCATTGCCAATCCTCGAATATGATTCTAGACATTCTTTCTTTTTGCTTTCGTTTGCATGCTTGGCGAGATGTAAATGGAACCATTCTAATGTCTTTCATGTTCTTAAAGAAAGTAATCAAGTCGTCACGAAATATTTTATTCAATAATAGTTGCTCTCTATTCTTTACTTCAATAATTCATCATACCCAAACCCAAAAAATGTCACTGAACTGAAAATTCAATGACATATTATATACTATGCTAATAATGAAAACGAACAGATATGTTGGAAATTTGGTTGAACCGAACTAACCAAGTCAAACCGGTTTTGGGTTGGACCGACCAACTGGTTTGGCATTAGACCGACCGAACCAATATTCTAATTTCATGAAGGGACACATCCATTTGGCCTAGTGGCGGTTGCATTATTTTATGGATAAGAATTCCCTTATGGATAAGGACAACCTTATGGATAGAGACAACCCTTCATATGGATAAGGATAACCTTTCATATGGATAAAGACAATCTTTCGTATGGATAAAGGCAACCGTTCATGAAACAATGCATGGGTTCGGCCCCTATAAATATATGTGTGGGGTGGATGGTGCCACATACCATCAAACAGATTCTTCTTCTTTCTTCCAAAAATTTATAAGTATGCTTTAGAGTTCTTGAGCCTAGAACCTAAAGTGGTGATAGCTTTATCCTCGGGAAAAATTTCCTGTAACCCACGACTTTGTAGAGGGTGGAAATATTATTTTCGGAAAGTGAACGTAGTTCACGACTCTATCATAATTCTAGTCACCCGGTCTCGGGCTATCGTACGTATACCCTCGTCCCTAAAAGTCCCAACAATCGAAAATAATATTTTCCGGTATAATGGCTCAAACCGATCTTTGCAAGAAACCGGTTCCGCTCTATGGAATTATGAGAATGTTCGATGATGAGTTTTTCATCGATGATAGTAGAAGATGAGTTTTCTTCATACTAGTCTCATGGTGTATTCCATATTCGGAAGGTAACTTGGAAGAGGGATGATTCGAAGATGAGGAAGAAGGAGAAGGCTTCGTAAAATGGAGAAATAGAAGAATGACAATTTCCTTTGTGTAGGTCACATATTCAATGGTTAATTTGTCTAATTCTCTATTTGACGTTTTTGAAGTTCTAGACAAAGAGACAAAATGTATATACAATTTATGATGAATCTGGTAATGGAGTCATCGTACATTTGTATGTATATGACATATTTATCTTTGGGACCAATAAAAGATAAGCGAACTTTGATAAAAAGTTGTTATTTCAATTCTCCATGTAGGACATGGGGAGGTAAATGTGATTCTGTCTATTGAATCAAGCGGTACAACAAAGAATATTCATTCTCTCAATTTTTCTGCATTGAGAAGGTACTCGTAAAGAAAATTCCTTAGTGGAAATTGTCGTGGGTTAGATACGACAATGGATCTACAAGTATGGAACTTATGGTTAATACTGACCAACCAGTTTTACAACTGGAGTATTCCATGTTAAATGGGTTTGATGTATGCATGACTTGCATGATGCTAGATATCGCATATGCGATAGAACAATTAAGTCGGTGCATGATGAATCATAGTGCTCATCATTTGAAATGAAGTGAGGCGTGTACTAAGATATCTCAAAGGCACATTGTATTGAGTTATAGTGGCTTTCCATCCATTTTTGGAAGAATTTGTTGATGTTAGTTGGATTTCTCATGTTAAAGGTGATACTTCAACATTGAGATGGGTCTGCTTGCTTGGGGGAGGTGCCATATTTTGGGCCTCTAGAAAGCAAACTTGCATCACTAGTTCCACTATGGAGTCAAAGTTTGTGGCCTTGATTTCTCTTAGAGAAAAGACATTATTGCTGAGATGCTTGGTTTATGACATTAATTTATGGCAAAACCATTCTCACCTATTACTATTCTTAGTGATAGTAATGCTACTTTGGCTAAGGAATATAAGCAAGTGAAAATAACAAGTTCGGTCATGTGGGAGTAAGGCACGGTAAAATATGTGAACTGATCATTCATAGAGTTGTGTCTAGACAATATGACAAGACTAGAGATAATTTGGTTGATCATTTGACGAAATGGTTAACTAGTGACTTAGTGATACAATCTGTGAATGAGATGAGTTAAAAGTCCATATAATTTCTGGTAATGGGACACCCAATTCTCCTCTAATACAACATTAGAGGTTGAATTCAATGTGGAAAGCTTATTATCAGAAATTGAAGCACTAAATTTGTCATCCCGAGGTATGTGCTTGTTATCCTGCATGAGAGAAGAGGATGAAGTTCAAAACTTCTTAATTGAATCTTTGACAAAGTGTATTATGCGGGTACACGAATAAAAGATTCGACCTACGTAAGCATGAAGTGTAGCCGCTTCGAGAAACCAGCACTTTGGTTTCGTGTGCGCTTATGAGAAGGATTGGACACATGGCGGTTAATAGTGTCAAAGCACTTAGAAGTTTGAAAACTTAAGTGTATATTATCTTCGAATATTCATATGAGTCAATGGGTTCAATCGTTAACCACACCCTTTGTATTCGAGTATTTGTCAAGTGTAATATACTAAGATGAGAATTCAATCGTCACGACATTTTCATTTATGCTTAAGTTTTGTTGGAAGAATGTTGTGATTTTAGCGAATTCTATGAATACACTCAAATGGGGGAGGAATGTTGGAAATTTGGTTGAACCGGACCAACCAAGTCAAACCGGTTTTGGATTGGACCGACCAACCGGTTTGGCATTAGACCGACCAAACCAATATTCTAATTTCATGAAGGGACACATCCCTTTGGCCTAGTGGCGGTTGCATTATTTTATGGATAAGAATGTCCTTATGGATAAGGACAACCTTATGGATAGAGACAACCCTTCATATGGATAAGGATAACCTTTCATATGGATAAATGCAACATTTCGTATGGATAAAGGCAACTGTTCATGAAACAATGCATGGATTCGGCCCCTATAAATATATGTGTGGGGTGGATGGTGCCACATACCATCAAACAAATTCTTCTTCTTTCTTCCAAAAATTTCTAATTATGCTTTCGAGTTCTTGAGCCTAGAACCTAAAGTGGTGATAATTTTATCCTCGGGAGAAATTTCCTTAACCCAAGGCTTTGTAGAGGGTGACAATATTCTTTTCGAAAAGTGAACGTAGTTCACGACTCTATCATAGTCTTAGTCACCCGGTCTCGGGCTATCTACGTATCCATCTTGTTCCCTGCAATTATGGAGAAATTAACTTTCTTCCCGCTGCCCTTTTCCTTGTAGAATAACACTTGCCA